ATCGTACGCCACTGATGCCCCTTTTGTAGCAAAACTCCGCCCAAAGCATATTCAGAGGCATCCGTCTGTACTTCGAATACTTCGAATGGCTTGGCCAAATCATGAAGAGCCAAGATGGGGCTGCTAAACATAGCCGCTTTCAATGCGTTGAAGGCCTCGCCTAGGACCCTAATCCCAAGGCGTGACCTTCTTCAGGAGTTCTGTCAACGGCAATGCAATGAGAGAGTAATTCTTCATAAATCGCCGATAAAAGTTTCATAGGCCAAGGAACGCCCTCAAGGTGTGGATATCCTTAGGCGGCGGTCAATCTGTGACATCTTGAATCTTTTGTTGGTCCATCTTTATCTGCCCTTCCTCGATGACATGTCCGAGGAAGTTAATCTACTTTTGGGCAAATGCGCACTTGGACAGCTTCGCATATAATTCGTGTTCCCGCAGTCGGGCTAAGACTTTCCGCAGGTGCTCCAGGTGTTCCTCCAATGTTTTGCTATATATCACAATGTTGTCCAAGTAGACTACTACGAACTCATCAATGTACTCTCGGAAGACTTGGTTCATCAATGTGCAAAATGTGTCTAGAGCAATAGTCAAGTCGAATGGCATGACTAGGAAGTCATACGACCCATATCTTATCACACAGGTCGTCTTGTGTTCATATCCTTCAGCAATTCGGACTTGCCAATAACCTCTCTTCATGTCTATTTTGGTGAACACTGTGGCACCACCCAATCTATCGAACAAGTTTGCCATGAGCAGGATAGGGTACTTGTTCTTCACGATGATTTTGTTTAGGGCCCGATAATCCACACAGAGTCGTAGGGTGCCATCATATTTCTTTTGGAATAGCACAGGGGGCCCATAAAGGGACTTGGAGGGCACAATGATCCCCGTGTCTAGAATTTTCGTCAACTGTCTCCGAAGCTTGGTGAGCTCGGGTTGTGACATTCTGTAAGGCGCCTGGGTGGGTGGCTTCGCATCCGGAACCAACTCGCTCTCATGGTCCACAGTGCACCTAGGCGGGAGTCTCTTTGGCATATCTTATAGCATGACGTCTTCAAACTCCAGTAACAACTCCTTCACGGGTGCAGGAATGGGAACCGATGAGCATTCTATATCTTCAATACAGAGGGTATCCATGAATGTAGGTTCATATCTATCGACTCCATTCTTCAACTACAAGGCCGATATATTCTCTGCGGCCATAATTATGGTTATGCATGGAATAATACAGGGCTTGGCCCCGTTTGCTCCCATCATCAGTAGTATGTCGGCATAAGGTACTTGAATGGTGTTGGTTTGCCTCATGAATTCCAATCCAACTATCAGCTCGAAGTCATCTATGATCACCACACGCAAGTTGACTTTTCCTTCATAAGGGCCAAGCTTCACTAGCACTCATTTGGCTATTCTACCCACCGGCTGAGGTGGTGAGTTAATAGCCTTGACACGACCTCTGCCCTTTCCCATAACTAGACCAAGGTATTCTACCTGAGTTGAGGCTAAGTAGATGTGAGTAGCACTCGTGTCTATCATCACCCGAATGGGCTTACCATTAATTTTCATCTTGATGAACATTAAGGTCTTCCCTTGGTTAAGAGAAGGCCCTTCATCCGCCTTCTATTTCCTTTTCTTGGTCGTTGGGCATGGGTCTTTCTTCTTACGGATACCAGCACTGGTTCCCGCTAAGACCTCAAAAATGGAACAAACAAGTGCGTTGAAGGCACCTAGTGGTTCGGTCTGGTCAGCATCATCCGTGTCATCATCCGTCCCATTATCAAAAGTTTGATGAGCGTTCATATGTGCATGTGGGCATTCATTGTTCCAATGTGGTCTGCCGCAATGACGGCATCCTGAAGGGGGCTTTCTCCCCTGATCGTTGTTGTTTGATGCAGTACTATTATTGTCTGATGAAGGAGCCTTAGATTTGGTTCCACTCTGATCTCATCCACTTCTGCTAGAGCCACCATTGCTAAGCTGGCCCCCTTTGTATCCCGCTCTGACAGGCGGTTGAGGCATATCCTTCCGAGATTCCACTTGATAGTCCCCAAGGCATTCCGCTGCTTGGATCGACTTGGGTAAGGTGTCTACTCTTTGTCTTTGCAGCTCCATATGAGCATGAGGTTTCAAACTTTCAAGGAATGTGAAGAGTTTGTCTTTGTCCCCCATATCCCCTATGTTCAGCATGAGCACGGAGAATTCCCGCACGTAATCCCGCACTGACTGTGTCTGGCGGAGCTCCCGTAGCTTCCTCCGCGCATTGTACTCAATATTTTCGGGAAAGAACTGTAGGCGTATGACTGCCTTAGTTCTGCCCATGTCTCGAGATTATCTTCACTGGACCTGATGGCTTCGTATTTCACCATTTACCAGAGTTTAGCATTACCCTGAAGATACATAGCAGTAGTTGCTACCTTTTTGCTTCTTCTAACTCCCCCACGTCATTGAAGTACTATTCGATGTCGAAAATGAAGTTCTCCACTTCTTTGGCATTCCTAGCTCCATTGTATGGTTTTGGCTCAGGAATCTTCAGCTTTTGTGGCACAAGGGCGAGGTTCACAACACCCCCGATATGGTTTCCGCCTCCTCGAAGTAGGCCTTGTAGTGCAGCATTGACAACATTGAGTTGGCCTATCAAGTTGTCTATAGTTTACTGCATGGCAGTCCCCTGGCTGCCTCTTGTGCCCTGTAGGTTAAATCTTCGGCACGCTCCTATTGGAGGCCCTCGAGCTTACCAAAAATTTCGGTTGCCTCTATGGCTACCGTTTGTCGGTCTCCCTCAGTCGCGTATGATGTTCGCAATGTCACCTTCAGCCTGCCGCATGACCCGCATCATGCGGTCCAGATCGTCCAACCTTTGTACTAGGTTGGTTCTTAGATCATGCACCGTATCCATGATGGGTCGTAATACGTCAACCGTCTCTTCAAGGGCCACAATGCGGTCCCCATGATTCCCTTGGTTAGAAACGGTGGTAATGGCAATGTATTCCCTCATCCGATGTCGAGCCTAGGCTCTGATACCAACTGTTACGCGGCGCCTTCCTGAGTTTTCTTGGAAGGGTGGCGTAAGGCTAAGCAACCGATGTCAGTGCAATTACTCTCCGCCAATTAAGGTCCTCTCCGTACGCTAGACGAGATTGTTAGTGTCGTACGGGAAAATCAATGTCAAGAGTAATTGAGATCACAGAAATGAGAATTGAGAATGAAAGAAAGCCTGATTGTATTAATGAACGCTATTACATAAAAGCAACACGGTGTCGAGGGGGAGAGATACTAGTACAGAGAATTAATTGCTTGCTAGAAAATTTGATTGCTTGATCCCCCCTAATAGTGCTTAAAAAAAAAAATCAAAGGTACAGGACTTGACCTAACTAAGCTAGAGAGACATAATGGAAATACATGAAATAAAGTTGCTATATATTTATAATGAAAAGGACTTAGATTCCTACAAAGTAGAAGCCGGTCTGTTGGCAGCAACCTTGTCTTTATCATCAAGGTCTGCGCGCGCGGCGTTGTTGGCATCTGTCTACGGCTGGGCGCTGGCGAGGGCTATCGGTGGGGCGACATAGGTACAAGCGCGCTTGTCACTTAGCGCGGTCAAGACCATGGAGCCAACCATGACGCTAGGCATTGGGAGGCTTGCAAGCCATGGGGCGCGTCCAAGAGGTCATGGGGCATGGCTGGAAAGCCGCCCATGACAGTACGCATGTTAATTGTAGGAATATGGTTTTCAAGACGAAATCGTAACTAGGCTCAATTCCTCACTTTATCGATCCCAATATTTATGTCTTCATAGGTGCAACATTAATAAATTCGCCCATGCTCGAGTGGTAAGGAATTGCATAACAAGAAATTGATGAGCCGAATTGCACTGACAAAATATTTAATGGGATCTAAGAAAATAATAAATATGGGGCCATATATCCGATCTATTAATAAATATGCATCCCATGTGATAAATAATTCAATGAAATCAAACAAAAAAAAATATTTACTAAATGAAAGAAAAATACAAATTGACATTGGAGTAAAGTTTTTAGGTCTGAAAGCCTACATAAGAATCAATATCAGTCACTTGTTTCAATTCAACCAATTAATTGACTCAACATAAATTATAGGCCCATGCAGATGCAAATCATATTCATTGCCTTATTTATTGCCTATGATTTTGTCAATGTAGGAGTAAACTTCACTCTTACGTGTCCGTAGTACATTTACAAAAGAAAAAGTAAACGATTAGTGAAAATAAACAAAGACATATGCGGATTACCTACTTAGTTAAACGAGATTAACGTTGACTAATCAACATTCACCAATCACCACAGTCAAAATGGAGCTTAAACCATAAGCGACTCTGACGGAATAGTATTCTACACAACCAAACATTGAATACGATTTCTTTAAGCAAGTTTTTTCTTTTTTTCTGAAATTTATTTGCGTAACACCACAAGCAAACTTAATTCAAAAACATCAAGTTTATTTACATCAACGCCGGTCTAATTTGTAGCAAAAAATACTTACATGCACCTAAATGTTTATAGTAAACTAAGCAATTTAATCATAATAGTTATAAATTAAAGTGAGAATACACATCACTAACCATAGTTAAATGATTTTAGTTTACATGCATATCTCATAAATTTTTCCAATCGTAACTATGATCTCCGATTTTCAATGAATAAGATAAACGTATAGAAGAAAATCCAAGTTTACTTTCTGCCTGGGGGTACACGTGAAAATAACAGCCTTTTTACTATTTCCAAAAAACCTTGAGCAATTTTTCAAACACAGAGTTGGTTGAGGGGAAAATAAATATACATGGACCAGCTATGATTCAATATAATCTGAGAAAGCTCATTGCAGAAACAACTTTCAGCCAAGAGCTAGATGGCAAAACAAACTTACCTACAAACTGTTCTTACACCAACCACATTAGTTTACCATAAGTGACAGATAGAATCAAAGAGGTAACAATATAGATTAATTAAACATGGTCAGTGATAGAAGTGCATAAGAAAAAAAACATGTCATATTTTCATCTGTTAAGTGTAAACACGAAGTGTGGATAAATTTTTCCCGAGCTAGAGGTATCTAACACTGACCCCTGCATCACGTCGCCACCAAAAAAGAAGGAAAACATGTCCAGTAACTTAGGTGAGACCACTCCTACATAAATGGCAGCCTCACTGTCTTACACCAGATATATGAAGAAACTCATTTGATAGCATTTTGTTCATGAGTATTCAACTATTATGCAGGGCCTAAAGATGTAATCTGGCAACAAAAATTCAATACATACAGATTATCCATCCATGTTTTTCTACACATTTATGGTTGGCGCTCAGCAGGATCACTTGCTTGGACTGAGATTCTGCGTTGCAATTTTATCCACTGACCAAGCATAAGTTGAGAAAATCAAATTCTGTGCTTTACAGGGAAAAACTGGCGGAGAATATTTGTTGACACCAAAGAACTTTCTGCTCTCTTGCAATAGTAAATTACAGAAGCAACCAACGAGACTTGCGTAGGATGATGATTCTTGCTGTCTCAAATCTGACCAGTTCCTAGAGGCTGCCTCGAAGTGTCACCTGACGCCCAAGCTTGATAGTCCTTGGCTAGCTGGATGCAAGAAACCCAACGCATAAAAAAGAGAGCAGAGCAAAGGAAAAGTGAGGAGATTTTCAGAAAAGTTATTTTTAAAAAGAGAGATTTTCGAGAAATAGTGATGTAAATTCTCACGTAGGTTAAAAATTAAGAATCACTAACTCTGAAACATAGGAAATATCTACTTTTATAGCTAAAGCCCAAAAGTGGAAGTAACTGTAGAGTTCAGCTGATGTAGTGTATAATCACACCCACAATATTCACAACTAACAACAGCATAGAAAAGTGTGTGAAAGGCAATTCACAGAACCCCAGAACTCCATCTTTGTTAAGGTTTACATTGGATTGAATTTTTGAGTACTTACCTTTCTTCTAGATAACCGGGAAATCCTCAAGGGCCAGGGCACATCTCAAATTCGGTGGATGATGGGGCCGCCCCTCTACCTTTCTCTAATTAAATACCAGGATAGTCTGCGGCAGGGTTCGAACCCATGACGTGCGCATAACTCACACATCACGAGCTACACTTTAACCACTAGACCAAACCCCTGGGGGTAATTAGATGTACATACTTATCTAGTCAGTTATATCAATATGTCATTTTACCTTGATCCATACTACTAGACTCGTTACCTAATCTAACCGAGTTAATTGGTCACTAACACTGGTCCTTCAGAACCTAAACCCGGTTCAAGAACCCCATTCGATGGATACAATCTGTATTTATTCCTACCAATCAGATTTCTCTGGGGGTCAAAAGAATAGGAGTAGTACTTTTGTGCTTAGTTTTCTGATGGATAAACTTGACGTCAATCTCAAAAGAAACCAAATTAAACAAAAAGATGAACACAAAAACAAAAACAAACCACGCCTCAATTACAAACTAGTTTGGGTCGATTATATGAATTCTCCATATCCATTCTGCACTATTTGGGATGTTTCACTTTAATACTCAATAATCCGTCTAATTGAACAATTGTGTTCTCCAAAACTGTCGATTCTCCAAATTCCAAACTTAACATTACATCTGACATATAATCTCCAACTACATGGAAAAGGCTCATGTCATAGAGCAAACCTAATGTACGTGTAGCAACAACAACTAAACCTTTTTCTTTATATTTTTTTAATAAAAACAACTAAAACTTGATTCTAACAAGTTAGTATCGTCTATAATGATACCGTTTCTTCTTTTTTTTCCTGGTGGCCTCCGAGCCAACTTACGTGCACATCGATTGTCCACTAGATACTCGATACCTTCCACCAACACTGGTTTGATTCTTTAACAAAAAGAGGAGTGTTTGAGGATTCTTTTTCTCAGTTGGGACAGTTTTATAAACCAAATCTAAACAAAAACAAAAACATTTTGGGCTTTTTCTTTTAAAGTTATTCCCAGCTTCGATTTGAGCCTACAAATCCTGTAACCTTACACTGTAATGGTTCCTTCATACAAGCAGCGTCCCACCGACAACCACCCCTCTAACAAACTTGTTGTGTTCACTTCTTTTTTCTAATACCCCACTCCTTACCCATGTTCATTTGCTCATTTTGTTTACTTTTCACCCAAATTTTCATGATAGTCAAATCACTATTGACCAGTTGGCCTAATTATCAAATTCAATATTGGGCCAATTAGCACAAAGATGAATAGGCAATCTGGCAAGCAAGCCATGCCTATAATATACTACTATAAACTATGAGAGTGACTTTGGATTAGCCAGCGAGAACAAAGTTCACATAGCAGAAAATCCCTTTTTACGCAAAACATCTATGAAAGAAGATAAATCTCTTTAATAATTCCAGTCAATCACTTTTGCAAAAAAATCTCGAGTTTTTAACCTAAACCAAAATGACAAATAGTTCAATTAACTTTTGAGGAAAATAGAGGTCTCTCTGGTGAAGTTCAGCTGCCTAGTGAAATCCAGTGTCACCCTCTGAAAGTCTTAGAGGTGAAACTACAGAGAGAAGAGTGAGATAAGAGAAAAATAACTTTGGCTCTGGTTCTAAAACATCATTGGTCCAAAAATCGTTACTTTTTAGGTTTTTTTTTAATATTTTATTTAATGACTAACATTGTGGATCAGGGGTGGCTTCTATTCAATATCCAGGTGGAAAACAAGTTTGTATAGCTACGGCATGCCTTTTGTTTTTGGTCATTTTTTTGTGCACCCACAAGGTTCCTGTTAATATTTTTAGTTGGTTCNAATATCAACAAAACATTTACTTTGAAAACTATAATTATTGGAATTTCTCCCTCCAACGCCCTAAACTTTACGCTAGAACATTCATTGTGTTAAACACAACCTAAAAAGAAACCCCTCTACCTAGAAGTCAGACAGTGGCTCCTCCCACATTACTCTCTTGGTGACTCGAATCATCATTGTCATAATTGCAGATGGCGAAAGAGGCCCCTTCCCGACAGGCTATCCCCCCTTTTCAATCTTGGCAGCATTTTTCTGTCACTTCTACTCTTCTTTCCTCAGTATGACACCTATCTGTCTATTTTCCTTATTTTCTTATCAAAACTTTTCTAGGGCCTAATACACAATAAAACTACCCTTTCATTGAACTATTTAGACCAAAGAAAACAATCTCATATGTACTGCATTAGGAAGGGTAGTAATATACCCACTACAAAGCTAAAAAGAAGAGATGTCTAAGCAAAGTAAGTGCTTTAAAATAATAATGAAGGATAAACGCGAATAAACATATATACATCGCGCCTCAGTCCAAGCAAAAGCAGAAAGATGTATCCACATTAAAATCTCAACTTTTGGTGAATCCAATCAGATGGTCGTTCTCCATCAATTAAAAGGTTATACCAGTTCCGTACTTTACCTTAGTGCCACCTTTTTTTTTTTGATAAAGTAAATTTTATTCATCAGGTATCAAGGTGGTACAAAAAGGTTATGTTGCGCAGACTCTTCATTTTAACCGCCACACCCGTGTCAACACGACACTAATACAGGTAAGGGTGTGGTATTCGTACCAGGTGTGGTGAATCAAGATCGGGTACTTGACCACAATCCATGGACAAATTTGAGGAAAAATGAAAAAAGAAATATTGAATTTTAGCTGGCTGCTTGCTAGTGCTTAGTGCCTACAGCTTGAGAAATTCCCAAAATGAAAGTTTGAGCTATTGGCTGCACTCCACAACCTATAAATTTTTCACAGAATATCTCTCATAATTTAGGATATTTATATAGATCTATTGTTAAAATTTTGAATTATTTTTAGCCGAAACCCCGCACCCGTATCCATGCCTGGATGGCTGGATCCGTACCACGGAATCTTAAAATTTAGATTATGAATGATCCAGCCTCTAGATCCGCACCCGGATCGGATACCCGCACTTGAATCCAAGCAACATAGCAAAAAGGTGCAAACAGCATCCCAGAAACAGTAATCATCCCCTAAGCCCTCCTAACATATCCAGAAAATCCATAAACTGAGATAGATTCACTAATAAGCTACCCTTACTAATAAGATGTATCCACATTAAAATCTCAACTTTTGGTGAATCCAGTCAGATGGTCATCACCATCACTTTTGTATATGCCTATTACTTTCAGTAATGTGTTAATAATGACTTGTGACGATAGTTGCTCTGGGTTAAAAAGACGAAGAATGTGAGGAAGATGGTGATGAAAAAAAAAAAGAATTTTTGAAGGCAAAGTTAGCAACATACATAGTCGTAAACACAAATATATTTCTTTGTTAGATTTTTTGTGCAACATGGCCATTGTAAACGATGTAGATTCCATGTTAGATATGATCGAGGCATTGCACAATTTGTAATTTTTAACACATTGTCTTAGTGCTTTTATACTATTTATAGACTATCATTACTTGCCAAAAAAAGAAAAAAAGGATGGTGATGAAAAAAAAAAAAAAAAGGG